CACGCGGCGAGTCAGGTCGGTGCCAAGCAGCGCCGCGCCGTCTCGGCTGGCGTGGCGGCCGCGACCGCTGCGTGCGGGCGGCACACCACCGCGCCGCGCCGCGCCGCGCCGCCGCCGTCGGAGAGAGTGCGCACCGCACTCACCGCGCGCCGCTGACCTTTGAAAGCGAAGCCAGACGGGGTCAGAGGGCGACCGCAGTGCGGGCTCGGCGGGCTCCAGGCGGCCGGGGGTCGACCGCCGCGGCGTGAGGAGGGCACCGGAGGCGGCGCCTCTGGTGAGGGCCGTGGGACGGCTGCACCGTTCGGCTGGAACCGGCTCGGGTGTGGCAATAGCGGAACACCAGAGCGTGGCGAGCGCACCGCTCGGTGGCCCCTCCCCTGGTGATCCGCGCAGATACTGCGCCATTGCTCCGCCGCTCGCAAATGGCATTGCTCCCATTTTACGCGCAGCCCGGCATCGTAATTTTCTGTTGAACTACGGGTGTTCTAAATCCGGCAGGCACCCGGACGAACATGGACCGTATTGAGCTGGTGGCTGTGACGGCAGCAGGAATGTCGCAGAAAACGACTTGACGCGATCCGTACATCTTCGATGTCAAAGGTAATTGGCATTTAGCAGCCACTGATTTAAGTACTCGAGCCGATGCTGGTCGCAACAAAAAGTGCGCGAAAACTGCGCAAGAACGCAACGAGCGCAAAAAGCGTACCAGGTGCTGAATGCTGGCAGCAAAATCGAAACATCATCAAGACCATAGCTGTGCCAACGGTGGTGATTGGTAACACTCAACATCATACAAGACATCAACAGAACGACAGAGCTGCGGCAAGGCCACCCTGTTCTCCTGGAAAGCCGAACAGGGTCGTCTATCCTGCAGCGGAGAAAAACCCGCAGCACTCGCAACGGGGCTGGCTATTGGCTGACGGCCTTCCTGATATAGCCGCATCCCTTCACTGTCAAGGCTGACCAGCCTGTGCAGTCGTGCAAGGCTTGGACGTGACTCAGCGGCGTCCTACGCCTGAGCTGCATCAGAGATTCCGCGCTGCACTGAGGCGGGACTGATAAGCGAACTGCAATGACATCACTGCCATGGGCTTTGTTTATCGCGCGCATTCACCTGCAGTCGCGTCAGTAGTTACGTAGATCTCGCATCTAAGGCTCGTTTATACAGAATTCAACGTGAAGTGGGTTGTGGTAACGCGTGATAGCATTTTCGCGCCCACGTGTGGATCCGAAGACGCTAGAATGTTTCATTTCAAGGAGTCAGATTTGGCAAGCAATAGCATTGCTGCACACTGCACTAGCCGTCCGGAGGGGTCCAAGAAGACAACTAAGCTTTGAGCCACCAAATCCGACTCTCATAATGGTTACACCCACAGCCACGCGCAAAGGACAATGCGTTCTCTCTCGACGTTCGGCAGCCACGGTGTCGTTGTCCTCCCTCCCCCGGCCTCTTGCATCCGCCAGTGACTGACATAGATGTCTGTGACAGAGTGGCAAGCGTGCCCATAGGTTGCAGAATCGAGGGTCAATATTACCACTTCTTTCACAATGTTTGACGACTTTTATAAAGCGCATGTATGCTTCGAATAGTGTCACAATCGAATCCGACAGGTCCTCCAAGAAAAAGGGAGCCAATAATATATTTATCCTGCTCTCGTTCGTGCAGCACCATAGGATGGAAGGTAAATGTTTTCGAACACAGGTAATAACATATTTATGCCGCTCTCGTTCGTGCAGCACCATGGGATGGAAGTTAAATTTCATCGAACACAGCGGCGGTTGCCGCTCTGCCCCTCCCTTAACCCCTCATCCGCCGGCTCAGGCTACGACGATCAAAACCGTATCACTATGAAGGCATATCAAAGAATGGACATGAGTGTAGCATAATGCATGATCAAAAACTATCCAAGACCTTAGTTAAGCTCTGAAGTGGAGGGATAATCTTGGTACATGACGGCTTGTGAGGGAGTTAATGTCAATATTGATTGTGAGATGCAAAAATAGAAAGTTTGCCAAGAGAAAGCGAATTAATGGATCTCTGTCACATGTAAACTCATTAATTGATGTATTCACTGGAAAATGAAACACAAAAGTACATCTCGAAGTCAGTTCGATGTGTGGAAATCAAATCGCTGAGTGAAAACGAGCATTTGATTATCGACGCCCGGAGAGGTGGTGTGGGATTACCCCTCGTTTGACCTGTGAAAGCACTGACGCACAACCGTCTGACAACCTCGATTTCGCGCACCCACACAAGGTGGCAGCTGACGACACGAAAACAAAATGAGCCACAGGGACCGCCCCTCCAGCTCTCCCATGATACTCTTCCTCCTGACAGAGGCTCAGTCGTCTCTCCCACCTGCCCGGCATTCCTGCTGCGTGGTACCACACCGCCTCCAGGCTGGGGTCCGCCCCTTGGCATCCCGTCTGAATTCCTGCGATCCATGGACGACTGTTTACCCCGCGCTGCGTCGATCCGTCAAGATTAAACCCACGGCGGAGGGGGCGGCGGACGAGTCCATCGCGCGAGTCCACGGCGGCGGACGAGTCCATCGCGCGCCGGCGGGGAGGCCGACCACCGTCCACCCACGGCGCAGCTGATTACAGCGCCGGCTCGCCGACGGAATGCCATAAACAAGAGCGGGCCGGCCCGGACGCGCCGGTACCGCCGGAGCGCTCACGCATGACGGCCGGCCGCCGGCCGCCGGCCGCCGGCGCGGCGCGCCACTTTTTGTCCGGCCGTGCGAGCGAGCCCAGAGCGGCGCGCGGGGAGCAGCCGGCGCGCTCGCTGGGCGCGGCGCGAGCGGTGAACGCGCACGTCAGGCCGTCACATCAGCCGCCTGGCGCTGTCGCTTTGATGGAGGTGTTGGAGAGGTGAGATGTAAAGAGGTGCTTGCGAGGATAGAGGTGTAAAGAGTATTTGAGAGGATAGAGGTGCGGAGGCGTTGAGAGGTGAGGTATAGAGAGTTCTTCGAGGGGTGAGATGTAGAGAGGTGTTTGCAAGGATAGAGGCGTAAAAAGGTATTTAAAAGGAAAGAGGTGTAGAGAGGCGCTTGGTAAGTGATGTGTAGAGGAGTGTTTGAGAGGATAAAGGTGTTTAATAAGGTGTTGTTCGGCCAGATTATCACAACGACCGAAGTACGATCCACTCGTTGCTGAATGTTTTGCAAGTCACTTGCAACGGATACACGACCCTGTTTCCACCAGCAACAGCACAGTTACGAGTCATGAGCGGTGGGCGAGACGCAGCAGAAGCGTGACGCATGCGGCGGACCCTTCAGGCGAGCCGCGCCGTCTCGGACCGCGTCGTCGGCGGGATGCCTGCTGGCCTTCCGTCTCGCCAAGTCGGCTCGGGGAGCCGTCGCCAGAGGACCTCCCCGCAAATTTTGTCACGCCGCGCCGCCCCGGAACAGTTGGCCGAGCTGTTTATCGTCCATCTTGGACCCGCCGGCGTGTGTCCAACGGATGCCGGCCGCTGCGCTCCGCCATGCATTACCGAAACGACGGACGACTGGGGCCGCGGCCAAATAAAAGTCACGCAGTACGAAAAATAATGCATTTTGGGACCCACAAAAGTTTTATGCTGCATGAAAATATGCGGAGACATGGATTGCCCCTTGGAAAAACAAAGGGTATTTTGGTAAATACTCAACCTGCAATGCACTACATGCCCACCGTTCCGACTGTCAATGGAGAAGCCAGCAACAAAAACAAAACACACTGATCGCAGATCTGAACAGGGAAAACTGATCAACTTAGGTAAGTTTTACAAGTCATGCTTGCGCTTGCCAGCAAGACATGCATGACAGCCCGGCCGGTGTTTTGCACGTCCGTTTCCCAACCCTGTCCCGATCGTGCGACATTTCCCTCCGCTAATCTCACGGATTGCACGAGGAGGCTCCGGCAATCGGCCTTTCGGCGATGGGCAATTACTGATTCCGACCGCCATGGCGAAATGAGACTGCAGTCATCCGCGACCGCCGGCCATCTCCGCACGACACCGGCCCGGGCTTCCAGGAACGTCGCGCGCTGGGCGGGATCAGCTCTCTGCGGCGTTGGAGGCCCCGCGCGGCGCGCGGCGGCGGCCGGCGGCGTCCCCGGAGACTGCGATCGGCCTCGGAGACTGCAGCGGGGAGAGAGCGGTACCACCAGCCGGCACCTCCGGCCGGCGACCGGGGCCAGCAGTCGGTCGGGGCCGTGCTGACACCATCTCCGCCCTCCCAGTGTCGTGGGACGTGTTACGGCGTGACGACGGATCAGTGGCGGGATGGTGATGTCAGCATTGGGTTACCCGGCTGCAGTCGAGGGACCTCATGCTCTGCGGAAAGAGTGGGATCGGGGGTGGGCAGAACGAAGGACAGGCTTATGGGTGGCGGTGGTGGGTAGTGGCAGTCAGGACAAGCCGTGTCTTGTAATTTTAAAACAATGGAGCCAATACGATGCACGCAAGTTTGTCAAAACAACCAAGACTGATCAATATGCGGTTACAAGATTGTGCTTTTGTCTCTTAGTAAACCCGTTTTGGACGTGATGTTTATGCTCAAGGAGCACCAGTCATCAGCGCTCGGCGGGCCCAGGTCCGAGTTTTTCTGCGCGCCAGCGCTTCTGAGAAAAACTCGGAATGGCCAGCCGACCTTGTGACGCCCTTGAGGTATCCGTAAAGAGGCTGGGAACGGCTCAGCCAGCTGGGAAGCGCCGACTCAGAACGTAACGAGGAGGGACTCTGGTGGATACACCATGTGCGTGCTGTCTATGGTCCGCCGTTTCTGTGTTGCACCGCTCCATGTGATAATTGCATATTGATCTGCTTCTTGGAATTGCTGTGAACCATCACTGATATTACTGGAGCTGGAGCAGCCTGTGGAACACTTTGATCCAGTACATACGCAAGTTAGCGTCCACATTGGAATAAGCCTTCCGAACATCATAAGCGTAGACGTGGACACAAACACGAAGCCAGCGCGCCCTGGCCGGCCGAGGCCGGACGGACGCCGGCGTACCTTCACAACCGCCGGAAGCCGGAGTGGTGCGAGTGGTGGCTGAGCTGCGACACCGAGTCGGGGCCGCGGTACATGCCGGGCCGCACCTCGGAGCGCTCCAGCTCGTCGGCGCTCAGGTCGAGCTCGTGCATCATCTGCTGCATCTCGCGGCTCTTGCGCGCCTCGTTGCGCGAGTGCGGTCGCGCCTCGCCGCCCTCCAGATTGGCCAGCGAGCCATATGAACGCGACCGGTGCTCCTGTTGGATCGAGAAGCCGAACGCCTTCTCGTTCAGGTGGTTGCGCCGCTTGTAAATGCCGGTGTTGGGCGGCGACTCGGTGGCCTCCTTGCGTGGCTTTCGGCGCACCTTGCGGCGCCGGTCGACGGTGGCGTACTGCTGCTGCAGCAGGTACGCCTCGTGCGGAAAGTGGCCCGGCTGGTAGGAGGCGGTCGGGCTGAGCGGGCGCGCCGACGGCAGGTACGTCGGCTCCTCCACGGCGCGCGAGCCGGGCCGCATCGGATAGGGCAGGGTCATCACGGCCGGGCCGTAGCCGGGCATCATGGGTGGCAGCGGCACGGCCTGCATGTGCGGCGGCGGCGGCAGCGTGCCGTACACCAGCTGCGGCGGGTACAGATGCGCTGGTGGCGGGCCGCGCGCCGGCCGCACGCGCGCCGCTCGCTGCCGCGGCGAGCCGGCGCCGCGGCCCTGGCTGGCCGGCCGCGGCGCCGCGCCCGGGCCCGGCCTCTCGCCGCGCGGAGAGCGCTCCTGCCGCGACGCCATGTTCAGAGCGCTGGCGGACCGCTGCGGCGGCCCGCCCATCCCGTGGCCGTTCGTGGCGTGGCTGTGGCCGTTCATACTGGGCCCGGGGCCGTGACCGTTCATGATCTGGCCGTGCCCGTTCATGCCATGGCCGTAGCCGTTCACGGCGTGAACGTGGCCGTTCATGGCGTGACCGTGGCCATTCATGGTGTGGCCATGGCCGTTCATGGCGTGGCCGTGGCCGTTCATGGCGTGGCCGTGGCCGTTCATGGCGTGGCCGTGGCCGTTGACACGTGAGGGCGAGGCAGGCGAGCCACGCTCCCCACGCACTTTCTGCTTGCGCACCTTTTTCTTGACCTCGGTGTCGATGGGCGCCTGTGGCGGCGGTGGCGGCGGCGGCGGTGGCGCGGCTGGCATCAGCAGCTGACGAGGCCGGGCGGCGCGCGAGCCCGTCGAACCGTACACGGAGGCGCCGCGGCCGGCCAGCTCGTACTCGTTGTAGACAACCTCGCGCTCGCTGCGGCCCGAGCCGGCCCACACCTTGTGGTTCTTGTCGCCGTTGTAGACGGATAGCTCGTCACCCTGGCCGTTCTCGGGCGCGGCGCCGCCATTGGCGAGCGGCGGCGTCGCCTGCTCGGCCTGCCACTCCTCCACCTTCTCGATGACGTCGATCTGCGCCTCGGCTACCGACTGGGCGGATGTCGCCTGCGCCGGCCGGCCGCCCGGCAGCGTGCCGTAGATGGAGCCGTACAGGCCGCCGTCCATCTGGCGCGCCTGCATCGAATCGGCATACGCGTGGAAGCAGCAGCGCACCAGCGCGTTGGCCGGCGTCTCGCGCTTGCAGATGAAAACGTGACACTCGAGTACCTTGATACCGGTGGTGCGGCGTAGGATGGCGGCGAAGAGTGGCGGGTGAGCGATGCTCGGGCTGCGCGCGAATGGCGAGTCGAGCGGCAGGAAGCGCGCCACGCGCTCCTTTTCGCTGCCGGAGCTGGCCGGCACCAGCACGTAGCGCACGGCAGCACAGTAGTGCAGCACCTCAATCGGAAAGAAGCGCGTGAACTTCTTCTGCTTCTCGTCCACATTCTCGAGCAGCAGGCCGTTGCTCCAGACGCTGAGCCACGAGTCGATGCCTTTGGCACCCGAGATGCCCTCGCTGGGGTACAGCTCGCGCAGTGGCTCCTGGATGCCCTGCAAGCCGTCCTTGGTGATGTGCGGCACCGATGAGCCTAGGTAGAGCACGCGACACCGGCAGATCGGCGTCGACTCCGACTGGGGCGGGCCGCGACGGTGCGCCATCTTTGTCACCTCAGTCACGCGCCGGGACTGTCGCAGTCACTCGCCGTGGGTCCCACAGTCACTACTAGCGCCGGAGTCGGCGCCTCTGGCGACAGCTGATGACCTCAGGTCAGTCCGTCACGCATCGCAGGCGTCCGTTCACTTCGACCGCGCCCCTCCTCCGCCACGCGCTCACTCTGCACTGCGCTAGGTGTGTACAGCCTGGCAGGTGAGCACTTCGCGCATGCGCACAGGTGAGGCGTGCTGCTGGCAGCTGCCGATGTTTTGACCTTCCATAGCGGTTTCGGGGAGCCGGCAACCAATCAACGCTCGACTCCGATTCGGCGACCAATGAATGCCGCCGTAACATCTCGCTCCGCGTTGGGAACTATACAGCATAACACCTGACCAGAATGAAATGAGACTCACCGCAGGAGGCAATGACCCGGCCAGAAAGCTCTATCCTGGTGCGCGCGCACGCTCGCCGATCGGCCGACCTGGGTCAGCAGGCGAGACGGGCAGCGGCGGCGCCACGGCGTCCGGCAGCCCTCCGCGTCACGTGCGCCACGTACCTCAGCTGCGGAGTCGAGGAATTCGCCGGAGGGCAGGCGTCTCTCCGACGCGGTCACGGGGCCGCTCGGCTGAAATTCCCGGCCGGCGTCGCTCCCCACTGCAGTCTGTGAGGCAAGGTGGCACGTCGGGAGACATCCCCGCGCCCGTTCATCAGACCGGACGCTGTCCCACGCCAACGTTGCGTGCGTGCGTAGAAGTGCTCCTCTGTGTGTCTAGAATTACTGCCTTGCTACGCACCTGCTGCCGGACGCGGCATGCTAAACAGGGCGTCGGCCGCACACCCCCACCAACTGTTTTGTCGCGAACGTGATGACGCACGAAATAAGGCGAGCCCGGGGCCAGAAATGTTTGCATTCGTAACACTTGGAGGGCCGGGGTCCCACATTTGGAGGGTCGGTGGCCTCACAGAAGGGTGCAAGTCAACACGCTTGTCATGTCCTATGTGTTCACTCGAAAGGCAGTTATAAAATCCCACATGTGCTAAGGTTTTAAGCTATGGTGAAATGACGTGCAACTGCGCTGATGAGTCAAATGTACCCTGGAAATGCAAGAGCATACTATGCACAAAACACCCCGAGCGCCTGGGGAAATACCAACGCTGCCTGAGAGACCATAAGGGAAAAGGTCGCTAGGGAATTCCCCCTGGAGACGTTGTGGTTTCCTGAAAATGTTCTTCTCCACGGCTGATGGTTCCTTGAGAGAGTCTCACTGATGAGAAGTGATGACTTTAATCTAGGCTTGGAGCTATGGGTAGTGTTTTCTGGGGCTAGCTTACAGCATCTCCATAATTCCAAAGCCCTTAGGTGTGACCCCCAAAGGGGATGGGTATGACGCTTCTATTCATAGACTCGCCAACAGTAAGATATAATTCCTTAAACAGCTGTTGTCAGCAAGAAAAAATATTAAGATTTTTGATTGTTCAAAGATCTTGGGTGTACTTGGATATTGGTGTGCTTCTTCAAACTCAGATTCATGGTTTCGCACCCGGTTGAGCCAAACCAAAACGCAGCGGTAGATTCAGGCTTTTGTCATGGGGAGTGGCCGCATGAAACGTTGTGCACCCCAGAACTTTGAACCTCTCCAAAAATTCTCTGATCCTACCCATCCATTTTTAAGGTTCTTATCTGGCTTTTAGTATAACGGAAACTATCTTTTTGTGCGCATCCATAGAGAGCGAGGTGTGGTGCGTGCACGTACTACATATAAGATTTACGTACACACGCGTATACACATCAGGTATACACGCATGGAGCGTGCTCATTTTCTCCAGATCAAGTTGGATTCTACAATTTTAAAGTGCAGCATTTCGGCGTCGCAAAATGAGTTAAGTCTGGCCGTTAAATATCATCCAATCAAGCATGGCACTTGATCCCATGATTGTCGGCTAACCGCTTACGGCGACTAGTCGGCAAGCCGATGTGATTAGCTGATGCCCGATGACGATTTTTATCATAATAAACGAGTATAAAATGTGATAGGACACACACTGTGTTAAGAGTGTGGCATATAAGTTAGACGAGCGCCATACATTCAACAGCCAAGGAGCATAAAATAAACAACGTCGCTGGCGAGTACAAATTTACCGGAGCAAATGTGGCTGCTGCTATTTGTGACTAACGCGCCAAGAAAAGAAAAATTGTAACCCTGCAGGTCTCGGGCCATTGGACGTTACATTATTCAGCCAGGCACACGAGCAGACGAAACACCATAAGTGACGGTGTGCTGGCACTCGCAGGCACATGTGGAGAATTTGGTAGCTGAATCAGGTCCACTTGATCACGTGGGAAGACCCAAGACCAATCTGGAAGGCTTGGAGCTATTAAGGGTGCACCGGCGGGTCAACAGGTACGGCCCCCACTAACAGCGTAGGCCTTACGAGAAAATGGGAATTCCCAGCATCAGCAAGCAACGAGGGCTCCCTTACTGACTGTTGGGGCCAGCAGCTGACGTCATGTTCGTTTGGACGACTTCATTTCACATACGTGGAACTTTCGCGGCTGGCTTTCTGCCGGGTGGTTAGTGCCTGTCGGGATGACAGAGAGCGTATCGCAGCATGCCGCCGAACCCTGTTTCTGCAAACAGGGTCAACTTTGCCGACCAGAGACGACGCTTACTGTCATATTGTCGCTGTCATATTGTTTTCCTTCTAGAATCTTTTTAAGAGCACTGCAGCGTGGTCTGCTCGGGAGCAGTGACTCCACACACAGTGCGAATCGATCGAGTGCGGCATGCAATACCTGCGCAAGCTAGCTGACAAGTCTACGACAAACTGGAAACTGATCTGATCGCCACTAAAACGTTACCAACAAATCACGTACATCACCTGTCCCTGCAGCGATGCTAGTCATCACGTCGCCTATGATCAGCAACGTGCGACTTTGTTGGACGATGCTTTTGCTGCAAAATTCAGCGACACCGCTGCGATGGTCCTGTATAGCGCACCCGCCTGACATTTGAATGCCTCTTGTGAACTGCATGTGTGGGAAACCGCCGTAAAAACAGTGCTTTACGGCCCGTGGTCTCTAACAAGGCTTGTGGTGCAGACAGCATCAGCACCCAATTCATTGCTGAATGTGCTGACCAACTTGTGATCTCTGCCAAGATATTCATCCATCATGGTTGTATCTGGCGTTGTTGCGGAGACGTGGAAGAGTACAAACATCATTCTTATGTTCAAGAAAGGTGACAAAGAGTGCAATCAAACCATCGGTCAATATTTCTGTCTTCTTTCTTTGGTAAGATCTCAGAGGGCGTCGTCCTCAACAAACTTCAGTGCCAATGCCACCTACCCCAGTGCGGTGAGCGGAACAGTACGGTATATCCCAGGGCGACCTGGCAGTGCACATTTGCAGCGTTTGTCTGCAGGCAGTGTGGAGTCTCCTCAGTCAGGCGCTGCACGGATGCTGTATACACTGACCACTCGGCTGCTCACGGGCTTGCTACTGACAAACTGAAACAGTCCTACCGTTTACAATGAGATGGGTCGTCTCCAAGGGCACAGCCAGGGTCGTCCTGAAGGGGAGCTCCGGAACAACACATCACGGCGATTCTTCAAATATTTGTCAGGAGCCATTTTTGGTTGATTATCTTTTGGTTGTGGTTATATTTTCTGGCTTGGTTATGTTCCTGATCGTCTCGTGCTTGTCAGATGAGTGATGGTGAACGGCGAAGCTTCCAGTAGGAAGCCAGTAACTTGTGCTGTTGCAAAAGGATCCTCTCTGTCTGCACTCCTCTTCTCAATGTTTATAAACCATTGAACGCCCATCATTCAACCTGGCTGCCTTCTGCGTTCCGATAAGGCTCTAATTTTGGCGAAATTGTGTCGCCACCTGACGGACAAATCTTGAAACTCGGACCCGATCGTATCAAAGCCAAGTCCATCAGTAGGTAACTAGCACTCAATCGTATAAAATGCAAAGTATTTGTGATGACAGTCATGTGCGCGACCATCAAGGCAAAGCAAGTTTTCAATGATGCGGAGATGGAACACATTGGGGGGATTCGCGACCTGGGTGTCCCCCGTCAGCATCGGGCAACATTTTCACCTTGACACTTGTAATCAAATTTCATGATTTGGTAGTTAAGTAAATTATGTTGGGCTTACGTTACATTTCTTACTTACATTGCATTGCATTACATCGCATTGCATTATTACAATGGACAGTATCATGGCATGTTCAACAGCAGCAAGTTAGTGACAAGGTCAATGGATTACCGAGTGCATTCTGGACACGTGCGGTACGCTGCTTGCATCGCCCAAGGACTCCCCGCCGGCCGAGCATGAAGTCGAACCCGAGCGGAAAGTCGGCGAGACGCTGTCTGCAAGACCTCCCCGTGTCTGTGAAATGAAGGTCTCCAAGTAAACATGACGTTAACGGCCTGTCCAACGGCCATATAGCGACCTAACATTGCTACCTAATGATGAAAAATAGTGACCCGTGCCGCGGCAGGTCAACAGCGATGCTCCCATCAACAGAGGATGGTCCTCTGAGCAAGCGAGAGGAACCCAAGACCAATGTGGGGGGCCATGAGAGATCGGGATTATCGGAAGTGCCTTGACAACTTAGCATATAGCACCATCGGCCGCTGCGCAGGTCCTCCGAGTAAACGGGAAGACCCTATGACCAATGTGGAAAGCCGTTGAGAGACCGGGAGTGCCTTGAAAGATGGACGTACGGGGCGCTGAAAACAGCACAGCGCCCTCTGAGTAAATGTGGAGCATCCATGATCAATGTGGCGGGCCCCTGAGTGATCAAAAGTGCCTGGGCACTTTTACAAAAAGGCCCCGACGACCTTGCGGACCGTAGGGCCCTCCGCAAATGGGAGCAAATTGAAAATCCTTAGAATATCGTAGAGGACTCCTGAGAATCGAGTGTCTCCGTAGGTTCATGCGTATGCCCCAGCGACAGAGTAGGGCCCTCCGAGCAAGTGGATGCAACCCAACACCAATGTGAACGGCCCCTGAGCAGCCGACAGCACCACGCAAGGTTAACATATGGTGGCCCCGTTAGCAGCGTAAAGACCCTTTCGGGCGAATGCGAAGAGTCAGTGCAGGGCTCCTGATAAAAAAGAACGCCCCGTCAAGTTAGCAAAACGGCCCCGGACAACAGCATAAATC